AGTTCCTATGTATTTATTTCTTCCTGCATAAAGATTTTTCTGAAGACAAATGCTGGAATTCAGCATATATTTTAACTATTAATGTATTTCTTTTTCCTAGGTTAATCCTCAGAAACACAGAGTTCTTTTTGAAGTATTTGATGAAAATCGTTTGGTAGGTCCTTTTGTGTTAATATTGCAGTGTATTAAAAACTTAAGTGAAAGTAAGTTCATCTGGATTCCACATGGATTAAAAAACCACACCAAACAACCTTCTGTAATGAAACCTAAAGCTACAGGCAGACCCGATTCATTTACTTATCTGACATTACCACACTTCGTGATGCTCTGAAGCAGTTGTATTATTATTCTTAACTTCTAATGTGCTTTAACTCATAAAAGCGTCGTTCTTTTATGGTGCTTTTCAAATGATGTGGCCAAATTCTTCAGTGATATTGAAAGCTCTGCATCGAATGTTTATTTTTCCCATGAACAAAGTAGTATTGACAGTGTAGATAACTCTCTACACGGTCTGAGAAGCTTCTTCAATGTGTGAGTAGCATGAAAGAAAGCATGTGTGCATTTTCTTTGGAAATCTTATCACAATTCACTGTCAATTTGTTCTTGCAGCTAGGTGTCACTCTCTGAATGGCAGGTCATAAGTAAGATAGGGATAGCTCGTGCATTTATTTCCTCAGTGAAATCGAAACTCCTCCTCTGACTGCTCTCATTTTAGATGTGAAGATGTCTACTTGCCTATCTTTGTCTGTACATTTTATAGTAAATGACTAAGGCTGATAACAGTACAATCATGACACTTGCATCCGAGGACCACTTCACAGACATTTCTTGTCACTGGAATATATATGTTTTCCTTCTGCAGTAGTTTGAAACTAATAGGCGGGATCGAGTGCTCTTTACTTTGTACTTCAAACACAGTTTCATTATGATAGCCATTATAAAGGATATCTCTGTGCTTGAATAGTGTGTTGGCCATGAAAAACTTGTTTTTTCCTAATGCTTTCCGCATATATTCAGTAGTCCATTGTACCTTTTATGGAAGCGCTAATCTGCTAAAGTTCGGAAGAGTGAAAATGTGTGTAAATATGAGTACATACTGTCTAGAATAAATAGACTTAAAGAGGAGGCTTGTTTCTTGGTTACAGGCATCACACAGTCCCCAAGCCATTTACTTCTTGATTGGTGGTATTACCTGTTCCAAGCATTTCAAATATGATGTCTCCTTTTTTTTTTCTTTAAAAAAAAACAATTTTAAAGGGAATCATCAGCATTTGTGGCTTACACAGCAGGTTAAATATGATTTTCCAGGATGTTCAGGTATTCGTCTCAATGTGATGAGGCTACTGTGTATTCTTCATGAAGTCAAAGTAGTAGTCCATTAGTCATTGGAACATTACTGCCACCCCCTGGAAGCCAGGAGGCATGATTAGAAAGTCATATTTCTGATGGTTTGGGGAGAGGGCCAATGCCTTTTTTGTGGTTTATACCAAGAGAATTCCTTAGCATTCTTTCTCTAATCTAGAGTAGATAAGTTGTTTGGCCTGTTTGCTTATGGGAGATGAACCAATAAACCATTTTATTGGCATCAGCTTGGAAATGGTGCTTTGTTTCCTATGTATGATTATATTTAGAATCATGTCCTCATTGGTCACTGTATAGTTCTACAATAACCCCAATATTTTTCATCTCTTCCATCTCCTCGCTCAGTGAATGCAAAAGGCTGTCTCCCTATTTCTCTTTAGCTTGCTCTCAGAAACACTAAGTTTCTACCCCTGATGTCTTGAGCTGTTTTAAATAAGTCAGATCGCTGCCTTAGCTCACAAGCTCCCCCACGTCTATTAATTCATCTTCACATGTCAGAAACCATATGTGCCTTGCACCCTTTTGCTAGGATACGCAGCTACAATCAAAAGGTGTTTCATCTGATGTTAATTTAGTGGGCTTCAGTGTTAATCAGCCTTTCTTCTACCTATTGGATGACTGTTTAAACTCTAGGTGTGAGCAAGCTGATAAAACCGAAATTCTCTTACATTTGTGAGATGGTCCTACCACCAGATAATTTTCTCTTTATAAAAATTTTTCCCAAGTGCTTTTATTCTCTGTAACTTTTGGAGATAAATTGAAGCCTGAAATCTTTGGGTTTTGTTTTCAGAAATGTTGCTTTCTTGAAAACCAGGCTCAAAACTTAGCTTTCTCAATGTCAGGCTTAACCAACGCAGCAGGACTTTGGATTTGTATTGCGAACAACTGGAGTTTTGAAGTCTTTCTTTAATAGCTTTAAAACTTTTCAGAGATCACCTGTCTTGGATTTGGTAAGGGAACACTAAATCTAGTTTGTTCTGCTGACTTGTTTTAAACCGTTAGTAAACGGCTTGAGCAGTTTGTGGAGTCCTTGGTTGTGATTGTCTTCAAAAAGACGTTAGGAAAATCTGTCAAGAATGACAATGAGATCACTTATGAGATGGACCAGGGAAGGGACTAGACAACTTTTTGCTGTCTCTTCCTGTCTTACAATAACTTGTCACAATTATGTATATTTCAAACAAAGAGCCAAACCCTGTTATCGATGCTGAAGAAGTCAATGATGTTATGATTTGAATGGAGCTATTGGTACTTTAAAAAAATTACTCTTATTTATTTATTTTTATGTCAACTCTAATTCAGCAAGACAGAATTTTGCATTTTAAAAGCCATTTCATGTTGACAAAGGAACCTATAGTTGGCTGCCTGTACCTATATGTACAGTTATAGCTAAGGAAGAGTGACATGTTGAGAAATCTCAAATCTTAAGCATCAGTTACCAAAATATGTCAGTTATCATTTTCTGAGAGGCTTCTTTAGTGAAATTGGAAAAGCATTTCAGCTCATCCGCTGGGGGAGAAAGTGTTGCTTTTTTTACTAAAGGCAGTATATCTCATAAAGTGGTTGCAATTTGTTTTATATCATACTAACATGTTACAAACTGTGCTACTAATGAATTTGTTGTTGGGGAGAAAAAGAGCTTTAAGAAATGCATTGTTTACTTTTTACCCAGATATCTTAGGGTGGGTGATTTTGTTTGGGATTTGTTTTTGTTTGTTATTTTTAAATATATTGCTTGAAGTTCAAATGTAACTTTTTGAAACTGTGACCAAAAAATATTTTATAGTATTTTCCTTTCCTCTTTTTCCCCTCATCCCAATTCCCCTCCAACATGTAACATTAGAAATCATCCAGTTGGTGAAACATAATGAAATAAATGAACTATTGTATTTGTTGGCTTTTTATGAATAAGCTGGTATTCATTTACTGCTGCATTCTAATAATGGAAGTCAGGTAACAGAGGTTAAGTAAGCCCTAGAGTATAATTAGAAAACAAATTTGTTGCTTGCAAACAGAGTACTATGAATTTGATTCTTGGCTCCTTTTTTGGGAAGGAGGTATAAATGTTAATTTTACTGCCTTCTAGCTTAAAATACAGTAAAGGTTAAATAAATATGGAGCAGAAAAAAATCTAGTAGTATGACCTATAAAAGTATAAATGGCCTAGTGTTCTCTTCTGTTTGCACTTTTTCAGCAACACTAAGTAATTTCATGTTAGTGTGGTAGCATTTAGTACTACATCATATATGGCTTCTGTATTCAAAAGTACATTCATAGCCAAATGTTTGTTTTTTAAAAAACACCCACAACAAAAAAACCCCCACACTTAACAGCAACGTTTAAGATTATCTTTTTTCCAAAAGTCCCACTAGGTGCCAGCAAAGGACCTTTTCAGATGATGTGAGCCAGTGAAACATTTTGTAGGAATTCTCAAGCCCATTACTCTTACAAGAGTTGACAGTATATTAACTTCCTGACATGTTGATCACTTTATTTAAAAGAAAAAGTAAATTAGTAATTAGCTATGAATGTATGAGTTTGTGTATAACTATACAGAATAGCTTTCTTCTGCAATTGTGCTTGGTTAATCATGTTTATCTCCATGCATACTTAGCTTAGTGTTTCACAGTTTACATAGCTGGTTTTGTATTTGCATGCCATACTGAACTCTAATGAGTGTCTGCTTATTGTGGGCTCCTAGCAGACAAGATGAGGTAGTTCAGTTTGTAAGACTAGTTTGGGTTTTTCCTACCTTTAACAGCTGTAGTTTGGAAAGGTTAAAATATAAAATAAAAGTTTAACATGGTAGGATGAAAATAAATGCCAAATTATTAATCAGAGTAACTTGTTGTGGTTCTAATTCAGTTGCACCTCACTGAAAATTATGAATTATTTGGCAGGAGAGGTTTCTACTATGTGCAAATCTTTAGCAAGTGTGGTTGCTTAACAGCATGTAGATTGTGAGATAATGCCAGATTTCTTTCAAGTTTTATTTAAATAGTGCAGAAAGACTTTTTTTTTTTTTAAGGGGGAGGAGGCTTGGTTTATGCATAATTCAGACCTCAGCAGTTTGCTAGCATGGTTACTATTTGGAAATTCAATCCTAGACTTGATACTCAATTATATGGGACTTCATTCCTACCAACTTCCTGTAATTCTAAACCTGTGGGTAAAAATATTAGTAGTCATACGCTGCTGAGGAAAGTACGGACACATTGACTCAGCTAGTGCAGCTGCAGCAGGAGTTGCTGTTTTAAACTTGGAAGTGCTGGAAGTTTATTATTGTATTCATTTATGCAAATTACAGAAAGTATAATTGAAACAAGGTCAGTAGTGTTTGTCAGTGTGTTGCAGCTGAGGACGTTGGAACTTAAGTGCTTTGTAAATGAATGCTTTCTGACTGCAAGCAATCAAAGACGGTCCAGAAACTGCAGTTCAACGAATGGCCGACTTATTTCAAGAGGTACAGTTTTTCTTTTAACACTACTGTCTTGTAGAAATTAGGACAAGGACTGGCACTTTTATGGGCTTTTACTATTGTGATGTACTAGCTCTAGGTTCTGTGCAGCTGCCTGTAGCCTTTCTGCTGAAGGATCTTTGTGGTTTTCATTTGCTAACATGCGTGGAAATGAGAACAAATGGCACGACAGTTAAGATTGCATTTTGCTACCCAAAGAAGCAACACAGACCCATTATCGGAAACATCTGAAGATGTTTTGGATAGTAATAATTGTATGTACTTCAAAAAATTGCAGAATTCTGCACCTAATATTACACAAATGAAACTGACTCCTAGACAAGTTGCTTATGCACCTGTAATGCAACAAGTAAGTAATCAAGAGGAAAATGCAACTATTTCTTCATTGCAAATAAAAAAGAGCACCTCGCTGCACATTTCTCTACAGTCTAGAAAGCATAGTGGAAGTTTTCGGTCTGGTGATGTGGTAGCTACTGGTGAAGACACTTCATTCATTGGTATTGGTAATGAAGGAAATTGTGGTGCTAGAATTGTGGTTGATCATCGATCTAATGATAGCCTTCTGAGCAGTTCGGCTCTGTGCAATGGCAGTCTTAGCAGTATTGCAGCCAGTGACAGTGGATCGTTCAGCAGTGCTGGCAGTGACTACGGATCATGTGCAAGTACCACAAGTGATGGAGGTTCATATACTAACAGTGTCATCAGTGACAGTGGTAGTGGCACTCTTTCAACAGGTGATGGTACGTTCTGTAGTAGTGCTGTACATGGTGATTCTTCATATAGAAGCACTGCAAACAAGTATAATCCCTATAGGAACAACTCATCTCAGGAAATTCTCTGTAGAAGTAATACTACTTTTGACCAAGATGTTTTGTCACTAGGGAAGAAAACTAAAATTCCACTGCGACGTTGTTCATCACTGGTTATTTTCCCTAGGAGTCCTTCTAGTACTCCTCCAGCTTCTCCAGTAAGCTCATGTCAACTACCACATAGAGGCGCCTATCAAACATCCCATAAACTAATTATTTCTCCTAGTGAGCTGGCACAAAAAGAAGATCAAACTATTGCCAAGGGATTCCTCTCAACAGCAGTCAATGGACTTCGACTGTCTAAAACAGTTTGTTCTTCTGGCGAAGTCAGAGACATTCGACCACTTTATTTGAATACATCATTACAGGACAAAAGTAAAATTTTGAATAGTTCTGAGCAGGCAACTTGTGAAGAAGTACCTGATGGCTTCTCATGTATTTCAGTGCAACTCACACAAGGAGCATTTGCATCAAGTAGTGAAATGGTTAACGGCTGTTGCAGTCCAGAGTTAAATCTGAACTCCAGTGCAAAATACCCTCATTTAAAACTGGCACGTAGCACATCTGCATGTTTACCCTCAGAAATAGATTCAGAATATCAGATAAATATAAATGAACTAGAAAGACCAAATGTACAGATGAGCAAACCCCACCATGTTTTGCAAAGAAGTCTTTCGTTGGAAGGATCACGTCAAAAAGTTTCTTGCTGTTTATCCAGCCTTAAATACAAGTGTCATAGTGCAAGGACGTCTCAGTTGCACATACAGTTCAAACCTGGGAATGAAGGAAAAACTGGTGTTAAGAAAAGATATGGAACCTCTAAAAGGGAAATGTCTAGCACCTCTTTGTGGAGGCCCGATAAGGTGAGTGTTCTTGTTTATAGAAAAGTTTGTCCGTATTTTACAGCTGAAATTTAACTGGAAAATAGTAACATTTACAATCAAGACTTAAACACAATGATTTCAGAATTTTCTAATGGTGTCAAACTGTCACCATTAGGAAGCTAACTTGTATATTATCTGTAACATTTGGGTTTTAGATTTGTTTCTTAGAATATGGTATGTAGAGTAGCATAGGTGAATAGGTCTTACAGTGAAATGCCTGTATTTAATATATTAAATAAACAATTTCTTGGTTGCAGGGTTTTTCTTGTCTAGTTATCTAGATATAGGAATTAAACTTCAGATGAAGTTTTGTAGTTTTAAATACGTAACTTCTCAATAAATTAATAGTAATTACTAAAATTGCATATAAAATGGGTAAAAATGAGTGGATTACTGTAGAGCCTTTTAGGTTTATTTCATATAGGCTTTATTTTACAGAACAGTTTGCTGTGTGTAGAGTTAAAGATAAGTAATATTTCAGCAGAGAAACTGTAAATGCCATTTGTTTCTGTATACACCCTGAACCACAGGAATTTTCAGTTTCCTCTCCTCCTTTTTTTTTTTCTTTCCTTCTGACTGCTACTTCAGCCTGAGCAGTACACTGTAACTTAATACCTCTCCCAACAACATTGCTGTTCAAATTATAGTACTTGGGTCTAGAAGACCTATATTAAATATATTTTTTTGGTAATGAAACTCATGTCCAACTAAACTGCAGAAGTGTGTTTGCTCTTATTAACTCTTAAGGCAGTTTATATTGTTAGTAAGGCATAAGCCACACAAAATGTGGATTTTAAGACTTGTTTGATGTGAATATTATGTATTAGTTTTAATTGTGAATGCCGATAAAAGTGCAACAGTTAATTTTCCCAAAATTGTTTTAAGATCTCATTCTCTATGAATTGACAGTATTACCATTTAACTAATGTGCTAGTTTAAGCAAAAGACTTTATGCCAGAGATCTCTAGTTCTGACAAGCCCTTTCTAAACTAGTAATATAACTAGCTTGGAGGTATTAACCTGTAATTTTCAGTCTGTTGTTGCCCTTAGAGTAGTGCCTGATGATTCTACACTTTTTGACTTCTTTGGAGTTTTGTATCGCTTTTTGATTAAAAAGAGTTTGAAGAAAAATGCACTTACCTTCTTGTACAACTGTGATCTATGTTTAAGCTTCATTATAAAACTCACAGTGGATCACAGGTAATCACTGTGCATCTTGTTTGATGATTCCTCATCCCAAAATCAAACTGTAAAGTTGATGGTAAGTTGCACAATAAGTACAAACAGATATGACATGTTTTCAGTACTCTGGGTCTAATTATTTTTAAAAAGTATGTTGTAAAAAGGAAAACGTGTTGAGTCATGCACTTCAAGTACACTTCTCATCAACTTACACTGCTACGTGTGTTTAATGACAGTTGACAGTAATCTTAATGACAGTATCTTACATATTTTAAATCTGGGTGAGTTTTAATACATTCAATTTAGATAGAATCCGAGTTCAGGATTAGATAATTAGCAAACATTTCCAGAAAATCTTGTAGGACACTGGACTGACAATAGTTTGTTTTAGTTCCCGGGGGCGGTGTTCATAGTGAATTGACATAAAACCTAAAGAGACTTAACTTCTTGAAACACTTGGTAGCATGCTTCTGTAGTAGTGAGCATTTTTACTGGGTTAATATGGCAGCATGTTTGAAGACTCCTGAATTCTTAAGATTTCATTTTCTGACGAGCAGATGAGAGACAAGTTTAAAAATAAAAAATAATAGGAAAAAAGAGTCTGACTCTCAAATTGTTCCATTTATCTTGTACTTTTCATGTATTTGCAAATATTTAGATTTGTGCCATGTCTACATACAAACTAAAAAGATCTCTGACATCAGAAAACTGGACACTAAAGGTTCTATAGCAGTATACTTGTTTCAGATTCCTTTATGCAACAACAGGCACAGGAGCCTTTCAGGCCTGAAATGGCCCTCTCGGTCTTTATGTAAAACCATTTTTTTATGGAAGATCCTATAAAACATGTTGTCAAAGAATTGTAAAGCTTCCCCCACTAAACCAAGCAAAAACCATAGTTGACTTTATAGCAGTTCAGCAATTCACTGGAATAAAATAGATAAATACTATTACATTTGTTATTACAGTCTTTATGACAAATATAATAGATCATATGGCAATCATTTAATTGTATGGTACAGTTAATTATCATGGTGTATTATGACTCATTTAAAAATAAACAACTCCCAAAATATTTCTCTTGACTCCAGTTAGTCTGGCCTAGTATATTGATATGCTGAGTCTGGGTTCAAATTTAACAAGTTGATACTGGAGTAGCATTTAGTAATGTCAGCTATCTGTACAGAGCAGTCATGAAATCAAATCAGTGCTTTGGTCAGAGACTCCAGAGTCTGAAGCAGCAAAAGGTCTATGCATTCTTTTCTTACATGCCTAGCTACTAGCCTTCAGCCACCTCATATCAGATTTCCTGCTTTCTATAATCAACAGCTTGTTAAAGGCTGACTTTAAAAAAAAACCCAAACAACCAAACAAAAAAAACCCCAAACCAAACAACACCCCAACCCCCCACCATTTCTGTAACAACTGGCCTTGGATTATTTTTAATTAAGTTGAAAAATGTGGAATGATGATGGCCCACATACCACTGCTGATCTTTACTGGAAACATATTGAATAGGTTCTGTAGTAGATAGTGGAATTTCATGTATGCAAAGCAGGAGGAAGAGGTAGCCTGTGGTTGCAGCACTGAAGGTTGTCCTTGACTTTGTGTTTCTGTTTTAATGCTTTTTTCAGTGCATCTGTCTCTTGCTTATGGTAGAATTAAACCTGCAACTAAACCACTTTGACATCACAGGTATTGGGAGGGTGGGAGTGAGTAAGGGCACAGTTTACATGTCATCTGACATATGTAAACTTTAAGAGGTACAGAGGAAGGGAGAAGCAGTTCCACTACTTGTATACCATAAACAAACTTACAAAAAATAATAAAAAACCCTGTGTTAATCACTTCCACAAGTATAATATTATGCTGACATCCTGCTGACATTAGCCATTCTTTCCCCATCAGTAGCACTGCTGATTAGATAATGTGAATATTGTAAATGTAATTGCAAATTTGTTTCAGCAACTGTATACCTTTAAAATAATTTCTTATACAATTAAGGGAATCATTGTGTTACTGTCCTTTTGTTTGCAAGCAATTTTACTCAAGTTTTGTTTCTAGTGAATGAAATACACCTTTTGAAGCAAAAAAAAATCAGAGCAGGTGTAAAATAACCAAAACATTTTTCTACTGTCAGGTTTATGTGAAGAAAACCTTTAGTTGGAACTCTTGGATTTTTTTTCACCAGGTTCTGGAAGTCTGCCTTTTCTATTTGTAAAAGGAGATGCTATTTGAATTTTTAACTACTAAATTTAAATTTAGTACTTACCAGTAATTTAAGGGGGCTGTGTGTGAGGATGTCTCTCTTCACTAACTTAACTTTCCAGCTGATCTGAACATGCCAAGGAGACCAGAACCTCTGCCTGGAAGATCTTGATTCCCTTGATAAATGCTGCACCACCAGTTAGCACTGAATAGCCTGAGGTTGTCTTCTGTCTTGTATCCTCTTTAAGTACAGAGCTTCTATCTTAGCAAAACTTCACAGAAGATAATGGTCCGACCAGGGAGAAGTGCCAAGAGAAGGGGAAGACAACTGTGGCTTATCTGCAGCCATCACCATCTTTACACATTGAGCAAAGGGGCTGCACAGATAATTGGTGTCCCAAATCTGTGCAAAGAAGTGAGGTGGAAAAGGGGCAGGTGAAGCCGAAGATTATAGAGGCAATAATACAAGGCAGAGCACAAATAGGCATCTCTTTATGCTAGTGTGCTACATAACCTCATCACCTAGTAATTTTCATATTGTTCAGTATTGCATATCTTGAAGGATCATATTACAGGACTGTCTATGGCACTTTGCTATGTCGTGGTATATTGGTTCAGTCAAGGAGAACTGGAGTTGAAAGGAAGGTGGTGTCTTTTTAAGGAATCATGGTGACAACTATGTTAGACTTAAATCACATACTACTATTTATGTTGTGTCTCAGACAAATTCTAGAAGTTGAAGTATGCATCAAAGAACTAAAGGGAAGACAGTGGAAAATGTCTTTTAATCACAATACCAATATACGCAAAGGGAACAATATTATTTGGTGTCAGCTCCATCCCTAGAATTTTTTTTTTGTAGATTTTAAAAAGTTGTATTTGGCAAGTGAACCATATGTAACTTTCAGAATATGATTGTTCTGTAAGGAACAGTGTCCAGACTGTAGCATAATACTTGAATAACTCTGTATATCCAAACTCTAGTGCTTTGTAGTCACCAGCAAACATATTAAGGAGGAGTTTTATTTCATGTGCGCTGCACAAATTATGATTAACCTCATTCTGTTTATGGTTTGCAGCTGACCTGAGTTTGGGTAGGTTTCTCATGCCAACAAAAGGGGAAACCAAAACTGCAAAACCATACAGAGCAGAGTTCCTGAAACAGCTTACATAAATACTTAATTATCCAGCCTTCAGGTTGATTCATGTCCTTTTTAATCTACCACGAGAGAGTGGGCATTGATTGTGTGCTGCCTTTTAATACAGCCAGAAGCTATAGTTATTCTGTCTCTTAAGGCTTAGTATACATTTAAGAATGTGTTAAAGTAAAACCTGTTCCTGAGGCAAGATAGAGACATTCTTCCCTTTAGTTCTGACTAGCCAATAACTTGCAGGCTTTCAGATATGAGACCGTGATCGTTGCTAAACTTTTTCTGGTTTTTTTGGAGTGGTACATCCTTTTTGCTTTCTGTGAGAAATTAGATCAATACTTCGGGTTAAACAAAAACATTTCTTGGAAAATGTTATGGTGATGTAGAAATCATAGTCTTTGTAAGCATTATAGCATAAGACAGAAGCCTGCAGGTATT